GAATATTATTGCATTTTTGTATAAAAACTTAATAAAATGAGATTCAAGCATTCGCTTACCGTTGCATACATATTGCCCGGCACTAACGCATACTATTTAGCAACGAACTTTTAATTAAATAATTATAATTAAGACAAAACTAGCCATTGCATTTAAATTATTTTTGTTGCTTCGTTTAGGAGCTTGATTTATGGTAAACTGCTAGCTTTTGAATAAAAAGAAAAAATTAATAAATTTTATCATAAAAATAACTTAACATATAAACAGGGACTTTTAGGAAAACGGTTGTAAAAAATTTTAATTAAAGACTCAGTTGAATTAAGCGAGCTATGTATTTAGTTACAAACAGGAGACGATTAGATTTAAAGCTTAATTTAATAAATCAATATTTCCTAAAAAGCAAACGATGTTTCTTATTTATGTTTAGGTGTCTTGAAGAATATGTATATGATGGTATGATACTACTAGCTAAGGGAACGTACCCATACTTCGTGACCCACTTTTTGCAATTTTTAACCCCCCCTCCCCCCTCGGTGACCGAGCGTAGTATATTCCGAGACATTTATTTGGCTTATATGTATTTGTCTTTATTAATACGGCGCTTGGTGCGTGACCCCAGGAGTGCATGCACACCTATAATTACAAGTGGAAAAACATATTGCCAAGATAAAACTTACGTCAAAATATATCATAACCAGTACTTAATTTATAAAAACAAAAGTCCTGTGAGTTTAAAAAGCTCCAAACAGTGCGCGCCATATTTGAATGTAGCTCGAGAAAACGCTAGATTTCCTTAGAGGATATTGACTACATGATAAAAGCCTAAGCCCACCGCCCCTTATTGTGACCAAGCGTGGTATTTTGGGGATCCCCCTCCCCCCCATGAACGGGTCACGTAGTATGGGTACGTTCCCTAACTTAATTCTGTCCAAGCAATTCCACTTGGACAGGCGTAGAGCGACCCAGGCTCAATATCATTTCAAAAACAACTGTTGTTAGTTTCTCTTCCTTTATTTCCACTTTACTTCAATACCATTTATTTATTACATTTTTTCTTGAAATCATTTTTTTCAGTTAAGCCTTTCTATTCGTAGCTTCAAAATTAATTTAAATAAAACAAAATACTAGTTTTAATAATTAATTTACTTAAGAAGTTAAATTTACAACAATAACTAAATGCGTACACTTGAATAGAAAGTTACAAGCCTCGTTTTATTCTTAAAACTAACTCTGAGAGAAACCTATTATCTAATAATCCTTGTTTTCTTACTCATATGCTTAAAGTTTTCAATTATTTCACCCAAGTTACTGCAGACTATAATTTAAAATTTCTAGCTGGTAAATAAGCTTTTGGTCTGTTGGTTCATTTAAGTAGTTTAAAAAGTCCATCGTTTATTGTAGCGATAGGACTAATAATATAGTATCTGTGTATGTATGTGTGTAAGTAAAGGGTGTTTCATGTTTATATCTTTATAATTGAAGTAGTTTCTGTAAACGCATCTATGTAGGTACATACTTTGATAATTTAACACTTTGATAGTTTGAATGAAATGTCGTTGTACCCAAATTCGCGGGTGCTTTTGTTCGATTCAAGTGTAAGCTAAACATATCGCCCACAGTCTTCAAAAGAGTCACAACTCTAAATAAAAGCTCTGTGTACGCTTTTAGTGCATAATTTCAAAAATGCCAGATTTTGAGTTAAGTCACTTTTGAAGATCATGTGCGATATGATTTTCAAGCATATTCGCCAGATACTAGGATTCTCTGTTGCCACCTCATTCTGCTTTGCTCTTTTATTGTTTACAGCTCGGCTTGTACAATGACTCGTTCATAGCGCATCTTGTCGGGTGTATCCCAACAGCATTTGAGACATGTAAACACCAGCACATTGCCGTATTCGATGGGTACCGGATCGCTATTCTGCTGTAAACGTAATTTCGGTATGAGTGTGGAAAGGATTTGAATTTCACATATGGTCTCGCCATTGCAGTTCGCGCACTTTGGTATTGCTTCGGATAGTGGTCCCATCAATAGGGGTAGTGTATCACGTGAATACCTGTGGGGATGGAAATTTTAAATTTTAAAATATTAGTTCTACCATAATCATATCAAATACAGTATAAACATAAAGTTAAACTTCCAAAGCCCTTTTATTAAAAAAAAATCTTTTGTTATGCATACATATAAGTCCTTGAGAGCCAGAGTAGAACAACAGGCATAAAAAAAATAAATAAGAAATTGCGGTATAGCTTGAAATGCATTACTGGAATTGAAATGGTAATTAGTCCGAGGCACGCCCCTTTACGTCTCTTTTACCATAATGGTAGCATCAAGTAGGTGCAATGAACTTTCAGTAAAGGGACGTATTTATTATTTAGAGATCCTCCTTTCTCCTCAATTTGTTTATATTTATAGATAGGCTCCTCTCTTTTTCGTTGCGCTATATGTGCCTGCCCTATATACATACAGTTTAATAGCTATACTCTCACCTTATTATCTGACCGGGGTTTTGTTGTATAGTACTAACAAATCGATGAAAAATTATATCACCATGCGCCGGCAAAGTTTTCTCGTAAACTTCTTTTTCATCTCCAGCAGCACCTAGCCCCTCTCCGCTTGCTCCACCACATGCACCAAGCCCGTTTGGCGAATTTGCCGCCTCATCCTGTCGTTTATACTCTTGGTATAAATCACGTATGTGATCCGCCGATAGCGCACCACCATAGTTTTCAAATTCGATAAGTTTATGCCGCTGCTCTAAATCCACAGCGATGAAGAATGGCTTAATAGTAACATCTGATGTCTTGGCAAGGGGTCCGAGTGCCGCAGGCGTTGCAGTATGCTTCAGGAGTGCAATTAAGTCACGTTCTGGCTTTAGGGGCGACTCCACGAGTACTACATCTGTCTCAGCTCCTTCAATTTCGGCACAAATGGTAGCGGTGGCACCGCCGAAGCCCATCATTGCGCCACCATCCATAGCAGCTGCGGCAGCCGCATTACCAGCAGCACAGTTGGCGTTGGGATCTTCAACTACATTTTGCGGTGAATGCATATCGAGTTGTCCAAAGCCATATACTAGTTCGTTATCCATCGAATTGCTTTCGTCATCATCATCTTCATCAACATCACTGTTGCCTAAGTCGACCTGCGGTAAGTGCTCGCCACAAAAGGGTGAGTTATCATTATTTCCAATTACGTTGCCGTTCTCTTCGTTTTGATGATGTAACTCATCAGCGCCTGTATCCATGCGCTCCACACCATTATCGGAGGCTGCAATACTCTCCTCCCCTGCTTCGCCCCAATCATCGGCACCACTGCACCAAGTAATTTTTTGAGGCTGCGTTGCATTTGATGCTAGCTTATTCTTTTTTTTCTTTCCTCCACCGCCACCTGCTGTTAGTGGTGGCGGCACTGCGCTTATTAGTTCTGCTTCACTTGGTGTGTCCAGATGCTGTGTACGTATGCATAGCCAACTCTTGGAGCTTTGAGAACAAGCCGGGTTTAAGCAACCAAAAACATATAAGGTTCGATGAAATTGCGATAACTCCAATGGTGCATATAGCTGCACAATTAGCGGGCGTGCTGTACCACATAGCGGGCACGAAGGCACTTTTATCTCACCAGAGGGCCAGTCCTGCAAGATACGGATAAAGATATGTCACCAACAAAAAAAATCAATTTTAATTAAGTTTGTAAATGATGCGTCAGCGCAGCGCATCACGTCGCAAAGCCCAGACTCTATGGAGCGGAAACGGCAACGTTGGGCAAACACTTAAGGCAAAAGGTGAATCACTTTGACCTTTATGCTTGGTTTAATACTACACAATCATCTAAACAGTGTCGTACATACCGGTGTTCCACCAACTTTGTTCACCGTACTGTTTAGTATGGATCCGTGTTTGCCAGTGACTTCCTCATCCTCAAAACCAAGGTAGACAGTACTTTTATTTTTTGCCATTTTTCACTTATATACTTAGACAATTAACTTATCTCCACTTAAAACTAATAGGCCCGATTTGTAAATGATATTTCATCAAGTCTTACGATTTTAGCAAATAAAGTATATTTTAGAATTCTGATATTGAATAATGTACTTGATCCAAGTTTTTGCTGCAAACATAAGCGAAGAAAAAACACGAGTGGATAAATCGACAATGTGATCCTAAAAGTATGCCAGCTTTTAGTAGTATATTCAATATGTAAGCGCGTAAATAAGCCGGTGTTCATTGAGCAATTCANGTGTTTGCCAGTGACTTCCTCATCCTCGAAACCAAGGTAGACAGTACTTTTATTTTTTGCCATTTTTCACTTATATACTTAGACAATTAACTTATCTTCACTTAAAGCTAATAGGCCCGATTTGTAAATGATATTTCATCAAGTCTTACGATTTTAGCAAATAAAGTATATTTTAGAATTGTGATATTGAATAATGTACTTGATCTAAGTTTTTGCTGCAAACATAAGCGAAGAAAAAACACGAGTGGATAAATCGACAATGTGATCCTAAAAGTATGCCAGCTTTTAGTAGTACATTCAATATGTAAGCGCGTAAATAAGCCGGTGTTCATTGAGCAATTCAATTAGCATTGGGTACTCGGGATTTCCTTATACGATGTTTACATGGGGCAATTTTACAGGCAACTATTAGTTGAAAGCAACAATCGCCTGGTGTGAACGGNCTGATATTGAATAATGTACTTGATCCAAGTTTTTGCTGCAAACATAAGCGAAGAAAAAACACGAGTGGATAAATCGACAATGTGATCCTAAAAGTATGCCAGCTTTTAGTAGTATATTCAATATGTAAGCGCGTAAATAAGCCGGTGTTCATTGAGCAATTCATTAGCATTGGGTACTCGGGTTTTCCTTATGCGATGTTTACATGGGGCGATTTTACAGGCAACTATTAGTTGAAAGCAACAATCGCCTGGTGTGAACG